CAGCGTCGCCTCGGGAAGGGGCTGCTCGGCCCCCTCCCCAGTCCGGTGCCGGGCGAAGTCTCCAGCGCAGGGTCCAGGGACCAGCAGCTGAAAACGCCCGGGTTCCGAAGCCAACAGGTGCAGGGCGTGCGGCACCCTCGGGCTGGGGATCCGGGTTCCAAAGACCTGCGGCGGGGCGTTGGGCGAGCCCAGAATCTCGGGGTGGGTAACCTGGATGCTGGGAGGCTGGGTCATCATCCGACTGCGCTCACCTTCGGGCAGGCTCCTGCGAAACCTTGAGCTCTCTTGCTGCCCACCCTCTGCAGCCCCCTGGGGCCCACCGTGCAGGGAGGTCTCGCTGAGGGAGCTGGTCCGCCGGAGCCTCTTTGGATGCGGTGTCCCCTCGCTTCCCCCCACGGGTCTCCAAGGGCCATCAACCCTACTACACAAGTCCAGGGTCTTCTCTGCTCAGCCGGGAGGGTGGGGGGTGGGGAGGAAGTAGGGGTCTTAGGAGGGAGGTGCCGGGAGCGAGATTTATGAATGGAGAGAGGCCTGCGCGCCCGCCCAGCGACCCCTGGTGGCCACCAGGGAGCATCGCGGCCCTGGGCTTCCAGGAAGGCCTAGAGGTGGGGACCCCAGCGCCCTGCAGGGTGGGATATCTCAGAGGGTAGCTAGGGAGGTGGTCAGTGCAGTTTCCGTCCTTTCTTGCTGGCGCGGGCGTGTTTGAGTGCTCGGCCCCAGGCCAGGGCCTGGTGGGTGGGGCCTGGGTCTCTAATACCTGCCTCCATCCCTCCCACCCACCAAAGATTAATTCTATGAACTCAAGGAAAGAGTGTTTGTAATCACAACAGCTTCTCTGGAATCTGTAGTGTTTGGTGGATTCCGACAGACTTGGCTTAGTTGTCTTGTGACCTCAAGCAAGAGGCTCAACCTCTCTTCCCCTGCAAAGCTGGGCTCCCTAGGAATGGTACCTGTCAGTAAGGCCAGCCTCCTGTGCCAGGCTCTGGGTGGAGCACATATAGAGCTCACTCCTCCTCACCTGCTCCTGGGAGGTAGGTATGGCTGGACTTCACTGGATGGGGAAACGGAGGCTGGAGACCAGGTAAGTTACACAAGAACAACCCGTGGGGAATTTGAATGTAATCCAGGTCCATGGCTGAAAATCAGGAGGCAGCAAACATACAGTGTGCCAGACATGGCCCCTAATGTTTCCTTCCTTCCTTTCTTCTTTCAGGAGCTTTAGGCTGAGACTCCAAAGGCCTGGGTGCAAGTTGAGGACTGGACCAGGCTCCCCTCTCCAAAATCCCAGGATGCCCCTTAGCTGCCCCGGCTCCTGACCTCATGGAGCCCTCGACCTCTCCAGGGGCCCAGATGGAGGTCCCCACTGGCAGTGAGGAGCCCTCCTCTGTGCCTCCAGACTATGAAGATGAGTTTCTGCTGTATTTGTGGCGTGATTATCTGTACCCGAAGCAGTATGAGTGGGTCCTCATTGCAGCCTATGTGGCCGTGTTCCTCATAGCCCTGGTGGGCAACACCCTGGGTAGGTCTGCACCATGCATGTGGTACTGAGGGCTTCCCCTGGGGACTGGAGGGGGTCCTCAGCCCATAGGGCGCAGGCTGGCTGGGAACTGGGGGTGTGTGGCTTTACAGCTGGCTTCATCCCCCCTCCCTCATGCACAGTCTGCCTAGCGGTATGGCGGAACCACCACATGAGGACGGTCACCAACTACTTCATTGTCAACCTGTCCCTGGCTGACGTGCTGGTGACAGCCATCTGCCTGCCTGCCAGCCTGCTAGTGGACATCACTGAGTCCTGGCTCTTCGGCCATACCCTCTGCAAGGTCATCCCTTATTTACAGGTAAGCTCACCGGCACCGCTCACTGGCCTGTCACACCTGTCCAAATCTATCTACCACCTTAGGTAGGTCTCAGTGACCCTCTTGCCTTTCAGACAGGTCACATGGCTCAGTACCCTGGCAGAGTCATCCCATACTGCCAGCGAGCGAAGACCACTAGGGTGGACTCATGAGAACACAGACAGTCCCACATGCTCACAGAGATCCCTCCCTGTCACAGACATGTGCATAGCCGTGTGTGCGCATGCACGCGCACGTGCACACGCACACACACACACACACACACACACACACACACACAGTCACTTCTGGGTACGTGGACACACAGAAGACAGAGAGCCAAGACTACAGTGACATAGACACTAACACTCGCTGGGTCTACTTCCTGTTCTCCAGGGGGTACCCCTGGAGGCAATGCCTCCCACACTACCAGCGCACACTGATTTCCGCCTCTCAGAATGAAGGATTTTTCCTAACAGCTTGGGAGAGGGGTGGCTTTCTCCAGGGAGAGAAATCCCTGCTGGATTTCCGAGTCTTTTGAGATTTTCCACTCAGCTGATGAGCTCTGGTGTTCTTAAGAATGAAGATGAGAGACAGATGAGAGAATGTTGTGCCTCCGTTTCCTTGCCTGTAGCATAGCACCCATGTAACGGGGTCGTTGTGCGGATAAGGAGAACAGTGTGTGTCACACGGTAAGTTCCATGAGTGTAAGTAATAATCCACAGTGGGGGAATATGTACTGTGGGCCAGGTCTCTAGCTGGACATTGTTCATACATGATTTTTAGTTGCACTGGAATCTTGCCAGGTAGATGGTATATTCCCATTCTGCAGATGAGTTTCAGAGGTTTGTGACTTCTCAGGTGACTCTAGTGAGTTGCAGAGTCAGGATTTGTCCTACACCCAGTATCTCTGGGCTGTCCCCCCAGCCCTAGACACCTGCCCCTCATGCCTCTGATGTTGTATCCCCGTGAGGCAGGCCGTGTCTGTGTCGGTGGCAGTGCTGACTCTCAGCTTCATCGCCCTGGACCGCTGGTATGCCATCTGCCATCCACTGCTGTTCAAGAGCACTGCCCGGCGTACCCGGGGCTCCATCCTGGGCATCTGGGCCGTGTCACTGACTGTCATGGTGCCCCAGGCTGCTGTCATGGAATGTAGCAGTGCGCTGCCTGAGCTGGCCAACCGCACCCGGCTCTTCTCTGTCTGTGACGAACACTGGGCAGGTAACGGTGGGCATCTGTCAGGGCATCTAATATGGGCGCCCCTAGCTGCTGGAAGTTCCTCTAAGATGGACCCTGCCATGGTGCCCACGTGAGATAGAGCTGCCCCCAGCCTTCCTTTGGCCCTGGCCAGGACAGGGTGGCATCACTTCCCAGGGCAGAATGGGGCACCAAGATGGGGCCTGACCCTTGTATCTCTCGGTTCCCACAGATGAACTTTACCCCAGGATCTACCACAGTTGCTTCTTCGTCGTCACCTACTTGGCCCCACTCAGCCTCATGGCCATGGCCTATTTCCAGATCTTCCGCAAGCTCTGGGGCCGCCAGGTGAGGCCCACTCTGGTGGCACTGGCTGTGCTGGGAGGGGTAGGGCCACAGTCTAAGAGAGCAGATAGTACTCTGCCTTCAGAACATGCCATCCTGGCCGCAGCCAGAGGAGGACAGGCCAAAGTGCTAAGGCCCACCCTGGGGTACGAGAGTGACCAACATCCTTCCAGTTCAGTAGCTGCCATTGACAATTGTATCATTTGCCCCTAGCTGACCTTGCAGCCTCTTTGCTACCACTTCGTATCCCCTACTTAATGTGTAAGAATCAGGGAACCTAAGAAGCCATGTAAGGTCTCCCAAAGCACTCACCTAGCGAGTGAAAAACCAGAGATTAAAATCTGGACCTGCGAGGCTTCAGTGCTTAGGTGTAGCACTACCACAACAATAATGGCAGCTCCTCTGAGTTGCTTTTTAAATTAGGCTTTGCATCCAATGTCTTACATCTGAGAAGAGAAGTATTACCCCATCACAATGCTGAGCAAGGACAACCCTCCTGCCGAGGCCAGTGAGGGCAGAGCCTGCCAGTTGCAGGGCCTGACTTCTTTCCTCCAGCACAAGTGGACTCACATTGGGTTTCAGGGGGAGAGGGCCTCAGAGGCCTCAGCATGAGCCAGAGTGAGACGTGAGTCAGCACCGGGCAGTGAGAATGTACTGGTCAGAGTGTGAGCAGGCTCACATGTCACTGACATTGCACACACAGTACTTATCCACACGCAGGCCATGCAGGGTGGGGAGCTGGACAGGCTAGATCCAGGCCCTGCTATGGGGCAATGCCAGGCCCATGGCCTTTCCTGGCTGGGCTGTCTTGCAGCCTACCCACACCCTGCCATCCACTCCTCTCAGACTCCCAGTCCTGCAGGGCAGAGACACTGAAGCTCACGTAACTCATGATTATCTCAGTTGACTCCAGACCCTGTGTTTCCTGCGCTCTAGCCCCATCTGTTGTGGGGGTGATTCGGGTTCCCATGGTGGTGGTGACACAGGGGGCTTTGAGGATGTGTTTATCTGCTCCAGGAGCCCAGAACCATTCCAGCCTTGAGGGCATCAGCCTAGGCTGGGACTCGTGATCTGAGGCCCAGGGCCATTCTCTGCTGCCCTCCTGCTGTCCCTTGCCCAGCCCTCTCCACAGTCTGACATGGGCCCGGGAGAGGCACAACCTATCCTACCTCAAAGATGGGGCTGGGGGTTTAAGGAGGAGGAGTGGCCTGGGGCCTTGCCAAGGGTCCCCAGCTCTCTGAGTCTCATGACAGCTAGGGGCCCATGCTACCTCTCCAAAAGCATGTTGTTGGTGGTTTCACCATGAGCTAATAATGGAGAATGAAAGCACATTGCTTGTCTTTGTCATAAACATCAGGTTTGTCTATTGTTAGGGTTTATTGTGTTGCCCACCTTCACCCTGTTCCATGGTCCAGCCTGGAGTGGGCCCAGCAAAAGAGAATGGCCCTTCCCAGGAGCTATACCCAGCACTGCTGTGTCTGTGTCTGCTGCACAGATTCCCGGCACCACCTCAGCTCTGGTCCGGAACTGGAAGCGGCCCTCGGACCAAATGGAGGAGCAGGGGCAGGGCCTCAGTGTAGAGCCCCAGCCCCGGGCCCGGGCCCGCACCTTTCTGGCTGAGGTGAAGCAGATGCGAGCTCGGAGGAAGACGGCCAAGATGCTGATGGTGGTGCTGCTGGTCTTTGCCCTCTGCTACCTGCCCATCAGCGTCCTCAACGTCCTCAAGAGGTGAGGGTGCGGGGCCGTGGGTGGGAGTGGGAGGGATGGTGGGGCGGACCAAGGAACTCTTCTTGCTCCATCATTTCTGCACTGTGTGACCTGGGGTAACTGGCTTCTCTTCTCTGAGCTCTGTGCCTCGTCTCCTTAGTCACTGAGCGGGAATAGCAAGAGTCCCTGGCTCCTAGGCACTACCGTCATCAAGTTTTAGGGTAAATAAGTGCACAAGACAGACAAAGTTGCTGCCTTGACATAGGCCGCACTCCACTGTGGGAGAAAGAAAAATAGAAAAATCCACGAGTGTTACTAGGCAGCTGCAGTTGCTAGGAAGGAAAATGAAATGGGGCAGAGGATAGAGAGTGGCAATGACAGGGATTGGTGGGGTCTCGCTGTTGTTTTAGATACAACAGTCTTTTTAAAAAGTCTCTTTGCGGAAATGACACTCAAGCGGAGGCTTGGAGGAAGTGAGGAAACCTGTAGGGGTCTGGAGAGACGGCAGTCTAGGCGGAGGGACACAGGGACACAGCAGATGAGGGGCCCTGGGGGCTGGAGGAAGGGCGCGGACTGCTGCACAGGAGACAGTCTGGGCCTGCGTGGCCGTGTCCTGGGGATGCGCCCTGGAGGATGTCGCTTTTCCTCTCTGAGCCTGTCTCCCTAGCCGAAAAGTGGATGATGTCCATGACTCACACGTTGCTGTGAGGATGCATGAGAAGGAGGATGGGGGCTCAGGGGAACAGGTGACTAAGCAGAGACATCCTGGTCTCTGTCCCTAGGTCACACGCTGTGTTGAGATCCCCAAACCGGCCAAGACCTCACGCCCAGAACCCAGGAAAGGGCCATGCAGTGGGCAGAAGTGGGCAGTGGGATCCCTAGAGGCCCGTGAGCAGCACTCCCACAACACCCCATTCCTGACTGCCCTCCACCCTGGTGCTAGGGTGTTCGGGATGTTCCACCAAGCCAGTGACCGGGAAGCTGTCTACGCCTGCTTCACCTTCTCCCACTGGCTGGTGTACGCCAACAGCGCCGCCAACCCCATCATCTACAACTTCCTCAGTGGTGAGTGGGCTGAGCAGGAAGAGTGACTGAGGACCAGTGGCCTCATCTCTAGTGCAGGGCCCAGACCGAGGACGGTGGGGGAGGATTTACCTGCTCTCCCCTGGGCACTGGAACCCTCTGGGAATGCCCACTTTGGGGGAGACTCTGCCCCGCCCAGGAGCCCTGCTCTCACACTCCTGCCAATGACCAGCACCCAGGATGGAGTGGCAGTCTGCACTGGTGAGCAAGGGGAAGGGCAGGGGCTGGGCCGGGGGGCGTGTGCCACAATCCATCTTCCCACAGGGAGCCAGGTCCAGGGGATGAGGGGTCAGGATCCCCTGGCTGGGGTGTTGACTGCACAATCCTGTAGTCAGGTAAAACAGCGTCTACAGCAGAGGCAGCCTGGGCAGCAAAAGGGCTCTGCCTGCCCAGGCAGACACACTGGCGGGGTGGCCAGAATCTTGGGGGCTATCTCTGGATCTGCCTCCAGCAACAGCTCTCTGGCTCTTCCCTCTGGAAGTCCCACCCTCTTGGCCTCCACTGCCACCATGGGCCTCCTGGGGTCCTACAGTTCCAGCCTCTACCTCCTAGTCTCAGGATGGTCATGGCCTGGCCCCCCGGGCTTGCTCCAACAGAAGTGACTCACCAGACCTCAGACTGGGGGGACTAGGTTCATAAGGAGCTGGTGCAGATGACTGTGCAAGCCTGGACACAAACTTTCAGAGAGCTAGAAGGTTCCTGAAAGGATCAGAGGTCAATAGTAAAATCTTTACTATGATTCAAGAATTACCCTGAACTCCAGCTTAGGGACCAGGAGAGGAGAGGCCTTCCAGATGCCTTTGTCTGGTCTGCATTTACTGAGAGCTTACTGTGTGCTTGGTCCTATGCTGAGCATCAGAGATGCCTGATCAGGGAAGGTTTGGTACCAAAAGCACCTCCGTTCCCCTGGTATTTATTCTTGGGCTGCATGGGGTGGTGTGCAGTGGTCCTTTCTCTCCCACAGTCTTCTCCTTTACAAGAAGGGCTTTGGCTGGGGAAGCTCTGGCAAGCCACTCTATCTCTGTGTATCCCACAAAGATTACACAAGGACAAAGCACTACAGCCTCTCAGGGTGCAGGGATGCTCCGGGGACAGAGACTGGCACAGTATGATTGTCACATGCAAAGGCTGCTGTTGCCATTTCATCATCACAGGGCAGAGCTGGGAGAAGCCTGGCAACAGATTGAACCCTCCCCACATACACACCGAGGGGAGCAGAGGTGACCTGAGGCTCCTGAGCCAGACACCACGTCCTGAGCCAGGCTCTAAGCCAGAGTGCAGTCAAGGAATCAGATGACAATTGTATTTTTGCTCGGGAACAGGCTTGGGTCTCTGTCTCCCTCTCCTTGGCAGGGCTGAGGCTGCCCTGGGGCTGGCTCCCCATCCCAGCTACACCCTCCGCCTCGTCCCTCACAGGCCTAGGCCTGAGCTGAGTGGTTGTCCCTTGGGCCCAAGGACCCTTCCTGTTGCATCTGTTTCCTTACGACTGTCTTTTGTCTCCCAACCAAGGCAAATTCCGGGAGCAGTTTAAGGCTGCCTTCTCCTGCTGCCTGCCTGGTGTGGGTCCCTGCGGCTCTCTGAATGACCCCAGGCTCCGCTCCTCTGCCAGTCACAAGTCCCTGTCCTTGCAGAGTCAGTGCTCGGTCTCCAAAGTCTCAGAGCATGTGGTGCTCACCAGTGTCACCACAGTGCTGCCCTGAGTGAGGGCCACCCTGGAGGTTCTGGGAGCTGCAGCTGATTCCTGCCTGGGCTGCTCCTCTGGCTCCTGGGATCCATCCCTGGAAAGGCTTCTGGATGCAGTGAAAGGCTGCAGTTCTGGTTTTACTGCCTGTGAGACTCTGAACAAGTCATTCTCTCAGAGCTTGTGTTCTTTAAGCAGGGGTGATGTGAGGCTAAAGGATGCCCAAGAAAGTGGAAAGCTCTTCGTAAATTGTGAAGTGCTTTGGATGTGGCTACTGTTGTGCTTCTCTCCTTGGCCACACCCGACAGTACCATCCGCCCTTATCATCATCCAACATTGGCTTTCCTCCCAGAGACCCCTCTCCTGTCCAATTATACGCCTTCCCCGGAGCCTGCTATAAAGGTCCCCACAGCATTTCCATCTGGACCAGGGGCTCCCTAAAGCCCAGAGCTGCACTCAGCCCGCTGCCCTGATGCCTGTGTGAATTAATCTGGGCCCAGCCTTTCTTCAGTGAGGCCATGAGCACAACCCATCCTCACCAGGTACTGAGCGCATGCACAATAGGCTGGACCCTGTTGGCTCTATGATATGATAAAATACTCTTGGTCATTCGGCATGGAGGCCAGCAGCCCAAAGCAATTGTAATTAAAAACCTGGCACTGAATGTTCCCTTTCCTGGTCATTACACAAAATCTGTGCTGCTCAGGATAGAAGAAGGTGAGGTGAGTAGGCACTGGAATGCTATTATCTGTAGACTGCTCCTACTCCCTGCTCAAATGCACTTGGCCTGGCCTCAAAGTGCACACAGTGGTACTTCCTCAGTGGTGCCACACCTCTCATGTCCAGAACCTCAAACTTTGACACACTGCAGGCTCCCAGCCAAATAGCCTCTTAGTAAGGGGATAGGGCGGGTAGACATAGGTTAACAGACTTACCGTTCCTTCACCATCTTGAAAACTGGGGCTTCATTTATTCACTATGAGCTCACAGGATAAAGAGACAAAGCTATAAACCTGGCCAGACGTGCTCCAGCTGCCACCGAGATAATTATAGGGCTGCCAGAGGCCCTGATCCTTGTTGGCAGAGTAGGATATGAGTACATTCTGAAGTGCTGCTCTGCTGGGAGGCACAGGAGACATCTGGCTCAGGCCAGCGCAGCCACACACACCACCAGTTCTGCTTAAATTGATTAATGGAGCTTCCCCCAGCCTCAGCTGTCAAGAAGTGGAGACGTGCCTAGGCATGGCTTGTCTTGGGCACCCCACTTCACCCAGAGCAGGTGGATGCTGTGCTGCCTTTCCTCACTCTCCACAAGTCACTCGCACAGCCCAGCTCACAGTGGACAGTGCAGTTGCTGCCGGGAGGGACAGGCTGTCCTGTTCTCCTAAGCGCCCACTGCCTTGGGCTTGGCCTTGAGCCACTTGCAAAGCTCACAGGCAGGTCTAGAGAGGTGTGCAGAACAAGGCAGGAGGACCCCAGCCCAGAGCCAACTATGCCTGCAAGGATCCACCCAGATCTTGGGTTCCTCATCCTGATGACACAAAGGTAGAGATGGTGAATGATACTATTCTGAAGATGTGTTTCAGAGCAAGAGATGTAGCTCAGTGGTAAAGCATTTGCATGTGCAAGGCCTAGAGTTGAGTCCCAGCACCAGGTAAAAAGTAAAAAAAAAAAAAAAGGGTTTCGGTGGATACTCATTCAGCTGGAACAACAGGATCTTCCTCTAATGGCTGCAGGTCTGCCCTGCAGTCTGCTAGTTGGTCAGCAGCATGGTGCGTTTTATGCTTCCTTTGTGGGGTACCTGGGTGCTCAGTAAGGAGCAGCTGAAGAACCCAGGGATATGTGGCACGCGTGTGTGTGGCGAACTGCACTACCCAGCTGGAAGACTGGCACGCAGGAAGGGGTGATGTGGCCCTAAAGAGAAAACCAGACAAATGGCTAGTGTTTCCAAGGTGATTTAAAATCCATATCAAGAAGTTTCTACCAAGTAAAGAGGAAATGAGCGAGGCCCTGAGTCTTTGTCATTGGAGTTTTACAAGAAGCTGGACTCCCAGGCTGTCCCTGGGGGATATTAGCTGTAGATAGGGCCTGGCCTCAGGCAACTAGATCCCATCTAATTCTGGATTCCAGTGGCACAGCAGTGTAGAGAAGGAAGCTGAACTGGCTGAACCTGACTTGCCTGCTGGGCCTTACAGGCTTGCTCAGCAGTTGTAGCTACTCCCTGCACTACAGGGAGGAGAGGGCTCAAAGCTCTTATCTTCATCTCCAAAAGCCAAAGGATTATCACACCATTGCCAGCGATAAGGCTCCATTGGCAAACTAGAATATCTGGTGTCTTCAGCTTTTGATTGAAATTTTGTCAGCTCCTTATAGACTTCCAATGTAGACTGGGTATCATGCTGATCTAGAGATCCAACCGGCAGGTACAGATGTCTGTGCTTAATAAAATGGGGAAAATTTTAACTTCATAAATGGAGTTTTGTCTGGAAGATAAAACTCAGGTCTGAGATGATAAAAAGGCCAAGATGTGAAAAGTAACTTCTATGAAACACAGTCAGCTTCTTGAGTTGATCCTCAGCCACTTGAAGTGAACCTGGCAGGACAAAGTGAGTGGCCCAATGCCTTCGATTCACCCTGGTAGGAGAAACCATCAGCCACAGTCTGCTCCCCAACCCCAGCTGCTTCTTTCTGTATGGCTTGGTATACAATATTGCTTAAATATTTGCTGAATGAAAGAATAAACAAGTGAACGAACAGATGAGTATGAACCTGTAGCTGGGTCGTCATGGTAGAAAACAAAGGACTCCAGAGTTAGAATGGTATCTTTTTATTGAAGCTTATAATTTCACTGGACTTTTGGCCCCAAGTGAAAAAAAAACAAAACAAAACTGGAGAAAAAAGAAAGCATTGGCATTTGGGGTGACAAGGTCCCCCGGGGACTAAAGCTGAGCAAAAGCATGGCAGGCAAGTGCGGGGTCCAAGTTTCAGAGTGTAACTGCCTGGCCAGAGATGCCCAGAGGGCATTTGTCCAAGCTTCCTGAGCAGGGACAGCCCCAGACACCTAGAAGTTTATACACAACAACTTGTGGGTGAGGGAAAATCCAAGCCACTGGTCCCCTGGGGAAATCTCTCTTATTCTCAGACAGATTCCATTTTGGAGAAAATGGGCTCTGGGCTCATCTGATAAGATGGCCTGGGTGAGGGAAGACAGGCAGTAATACTAAGAGGCCGATGAACACTTACTACTAGCAGCAGGATACAGAGGGGAAAGCTGGAGGCCAGAGCAAGCTGGCTAGATGCTAACTCCATTGCCATGACTGGCATCTGCTGCCCCTGGTGCGAGGCTGTGCCATCCAACTGATCAGGACTGTCAGAACATTAACTTCTAGTATTCTTTGAGGTCAGGCTTTTACGTGTGTAGTCACAGGCCAGGGCCTCACTATCTGGTGGCTCTGATGTAGGACTTCCAACCTTTAGGAACTGTGCTACATCAAGCAAGCAAGAATCTCTTTCTAGAAGGGATGGGAAAAGAAGAGAAAGCCCACATGCATCTCCAATGCTAGAGAGCTGGGAAAGGTCCTTGGAGGTTGGGTCATAGCATCCGAGAAGCTGTCATGGTGACAAAGTCCTCGAAGCTGAGCCGAATGCTGCCCTGTACAGCAGTGTCCTTCTCCCGAAAGGCCTCAGTCAACAACTGAAGCTGGGTGCACACCTGGATGAAGCGGTCGAGCTGCATGGCAGGATTGACAGAGCGAGGGCAGTAGCGGGAGACCAGGAGCTGGGTGAACTGAGGGCTCAGGTTGTAGCCCATTTGGGTCAGAGCTGGAGAAGAGGGGCACAGAGAACGCACAAAAGCCTGTGGTGAGCACCTCCATCAACCAGCAACACTGGAGCACAGCGCATCAGGGGACTTCGAGAGGACTGGCACGGAGCACGAAGAGACAGTGAAGTCCCAAGATCCGTTCAAGATGTCAGGTTGCTTCCCTTTGCTGGAAGGCCTCCCTCTTCCCAAATCTCCCTTATTGTTGTTGAATCTGGGCTCCTGAGGTCCCAGAGTTGACAGTGGTTTATCTGTTATCATTTCTGGCTCATTTGCATATGGAAGGAAGCCCAAGCTCCCTGGGACCACCTTGCGTAGGGCAGACATCCAAGGTGGCACAGCACAGGGTTTAAATGGCTGGGGCAAGCTGTCCACTATCCTTCTGTCTTATTACCTCCAAAATGGGTCTGATACTTAACTTGTGGGTTCTGTAAGAATTAAAGGGGGTGATCATGTCCTGCACTTAGCACAGTGCTTGGCACTCAGTGTTGTTTTTTGGTTTCTTTTGGTACCGGGGATCGAACTTGGGTCGTTGTGCTTGCGAGGCAGGCAGAACCACTGAGCTAAATCCCCGGCCCAGTAAGTGTTTTAATAATATCATTTCTCCCTACATGGGACTGCTGTAGATCACGGCCTGGATGCACTGCCATCTCTCACTGAGCTGCTTCCTGTCTTCTTCTCCATTGAACTTACCAGCCCAGGATCAAATCTCAGCTCTCCCTTAGCTCTGTGGGCCCTTAGGCAAGTTATGTACTCAGTTTTCTCATTTGTAGAAATGAAACCATAAGGGACTGTCATGAAAGGGGGTGAAATAATAAATAGGATTTAAGGCATGGGAAGAATGAATTCTATACATCTATTAAAAATGCTTATTACAGTGCCTAAGGCATAGCAAGCCTTCACTAAATGCTAGTTTTGCTGCTGCTAAGTGTCACCCTTAGCCAAATCAATGACAGAAGCTGGCAAGAGTAATGATCATCTCCTCTCTACCAGGGGCTGATACAGTGCACTCACACCCACCACAGACTCCCTTAGTCTGACTGAAACCCACAGCCAGGGCACAGCATTGGACTCTGACAGCCCTTTCCCCCTCTTAGGTGGCAAAACTCTCTTGTTGGGTTTCCACAGTTCCATTAGCCACCTGTCCCTTTCCCTACTGGCCTTCCAGAGTCAGAAACAGCTGGAGCTGTGGCTTCAGGCCTTCTTCGCCAACTGCAACTTTTACAGTTCTCTGGGTCCCACAGTTGGGAAAGAAACTCCCTCTGGCAGAGGCAGCAATCCCACCTTTCTGAGCCCCTGAACAGAGTTGTTTCCATCTTCCATGCTAGGAATGAGAGGAAATGACCACAAAAAACACACCGGTCTCCATGTGCCCCAGGGCACCAAGTTTCCATCTCTTAGGCTCCCTGCCACATGGAGCTATGTCAGCCAGCATGGCCAGATTGGCTGGATATCCTACCACCAGGGGCTCCAGCCCTCATTCTTGGCCCAGTCCCTTCTTGCTCTTGATCTTAATTTAGTGTCCCAACCAGGTAACAGCAGTGTGGTAAGTAGGCCTACACCGAGGACAACATTCTGGGGTAGAGGTGGGCATCTGGCAGTGAGGAAACCTTTGTTTCATCCTAGGGAGTGAAAGAGTCTACCTCTGTCCTACTCACCATGCACCTGCCATGCCCTTACCTTGCTGCAGCTCTGTGTAGCTGATGGAGCCTGAGTGGTCCCGGTCATATTGTTGGAAGAGGTTCTTCCACTGCTGGATGAATTTCCATAGGGCTGAGAAACCATAGACATCAATGTGGCCTGACTTGGTCTTGTCAAACATATCTGAGGGGTAGCAGGAAAGAAGAGAGGAAGGTTTCAAGACTGAGGGCCAAGCACACCACTGAAGGAGCCCTTCTCCCCAGACTGGCTTGGGAGACTCCACAGAAACACAGACCTGAGGCCCAGATGCCTGTGCCTAAGACACCTGCATCAAATGCAGCACCAGCACCCACCCCAGCAACCCTTAGTTCCATCCCAACCACAGTGGTTTTCTCTGATGGTGTGGTGGCTGAGTCCCAAGACCTGGATCCATGCAGACCCCAACTCTTGCTACTTAAGAAAGATTCAGTCCAGAGATTCTTTGAACCCAGTTTCCTCTTTGGCCAAAGGAGGTGTCCTCAGAGTGGATGACTGCCCATCTATTGTCAACTGTCAGGTGGCTCTGCCCCAGCTCAAGCCCACAGAGAAGGGCCAGGACTCACTTATCATCATGAGGCATGTCTCGTCATTGAAAGACGACCAGTTGGAGTTTACCAGAGCCTGCTTCAATTCCTTGATGGAGATGTAGCCGCTGCGATCAGAGTCCACAGACTGGAACCAGGAGTAGGCTTCAGGATCCACATTGAGAGGAGCACCACCTGAATAAAGGGATGAACCCAGACAGTCAGATCCAGGTCTCAAGGCCAATCTGCCAAAATGCCAGGAAGTTTCAGTGTCTCAATAGCTACAGGCTTTCCCTACCCACAAAGCCTCACAAATCTGCCTATGTGTTTTCCCTGAATGTCAAGCTGACATTCTTACTATGATGAAAGAGGCCTTCAGTAGACTTACAAGCATCTGAAGTTGTTTTCTGCTCCAAGAATCCTTCAGGTGTTTTGAATAGTGCCCCAGTCACTTCTCTATTTATGTTTCCTGTCCCCTTCTAGCACATCAATAATTTTCTGGAAAAGGTCAGCTGAGAGATGGGATGGCAGATGAAAGCAGAGAAGTCTATCTTATGAAAATCTTAAGAGTGTTAACTGCCACAACAGGGGCTCACACAAGAAAAGTGGCAGACGGCCATGGGGAGTTGCGGAGGATAGAAATCACTGCTGAGGCCAGAATGAAAAGATTTGCCTGACTGAGGGTTGAGCCTGACCTGGGATGGGAAATTCTGGCAGGTTACACCTACCTTTCTGTAACAGCAGTGTCATGAGGGAGCAAGGGCCACACCCCTGACAGGAGAGTTTTTGAAAAATGTGTGGGCCTTGTGGTTAATGTAGAAGGGCTCAGGTTTTGGAATCAAAACAATCTGGTTCAAATCTTGGCTCTGATACTTACTAGTTTGTGTGACTTCAAGCGAAATGTGTAACTTTCTGAGTACTGATCTTCCCATTTCTAAAATGAACCCACTTTCCAGGATGGTTGTAACAGTTAAATAATAACAGCAAAATAAGGCTCTTAGCAAAGAAGGGGTGGGATTAGAGACATTTTCACTGAGGAAGGACATTACAACTGAATCTAAATGGATGATGAATGAGATGGGAAAAAGAAAGAGCAGACAGCAAAGGCACAGGGTACACTCAGAGTACTCTGAGGGATCTTGGTGGGAGGATAACAGGAGAGGAAGCTGGAGAGGGCCTTCAGAATGTTCCTCCGGGTAGAGGGCACCTCTCATAGTCAAATCGGTCTTCCAGAGCAGTGGTACTCAAACACTGAAGGTGGCACCTCCCAGGGACATCAGTGCAGGTGATGCATGGATCATGCTTTATGTAGCACTGCGGGCAGAGCATGGGGGAGGGGTGCCGCTAGCTGCTCTGGAAAGGAGGCAGTGGAGGCTAAACAAAAGGGAGCAGCTGAAGGTGAGTGGCTGAGGTGTGAGGGGTACCCCTCCACTCTTATCCAGCCCCAGAGATTACCACTAGCCTCTGGCCTGGAGGGATGACCCTTGAACCAGGGGCTCCTTTCCCTGCAGCGGCCTCCAATGGGCTTAGAGACAACATGTTAAAAAGGATGGGGAAATCTGCTGAGGCACTGCCGGGCTGAAAGCAAATGGCCAGATGCTCTGGGCTCTGAGAAGATAAATGCCACTGGCTCGCAGTGCTGAGAACTCCCAAGGTTTGAGCGTCTTCCCCAGGGCTACCTGCCTGAGTAAAGACACTCTGATGCTGCCTGTTACCCGGTAGGGCGTTCCCTGGAGACCCTTCCCATGCACCAAAGCGGTTTCAGGCTGCCTGGCTGGTGGCTTAGTCTCCTGGGAACAATCACTCCGTGAAGGAGTTGACCGAAATGAGTTTGGGGAGAAGCATGACGCTGGCACCTTCTCTCTCTGATCCTGAGACTGCTCAGAAATCTCACTGGGGCCAAAGCCCTCATCCAAGGCTCTCTGTGACTCCTAAATCTCCTAGCTCGTTGCCTTCCCCTGACTTGTCCAGCATCTCACCTTCAGTTTCTCTGCTGTTCCTTTCCCCTATCTCATCCTCCTGCCTGCCTCAGCATCTTTTAATGGTAAAGCTCAAGTCACATCTGCTATCATATTAAATGCCAAATTCTCCTCATTCTAAGAACACCCTAGAAGGAGTCCTCTCACAGAATATTGTCTGTGAGCCAGATACTTTCTCATTTAGTCCTTATAAACAACCATGGGAGTAATGGCATTGCTCCCATCTACAGATGTGGATACTGAAGTTTAAAGAGGTGAAATGGTTTGGTCAGGCCAGTAGATGGTTTGATCGACACAGTTCCAATTTTATGTATGTGCTGCTGAAGTGAGTACAGGTGGTCTGATCTGAAAGCCAACCTTTCAACAACTGCATTATCTTGCCTTTCTATAATGGCAGTCAGTCTCCCTCACACAGGAATGGGCTTTCTCTCCCAGTAGAGTACATTATCATCTCCAATTACTTATCAATCTCCTCTCCCTTATAAAAGCATTGTACCACCTCTCTGGTTACCTGGTGGCTTACAGAGCTCCTCCATGAAACAAGCATCCATTTCCATATTACTTTCGTCAGACCTGACTGGGGCATATGCTTGGGCCCAAAGAACATAAACAGACATGTGGTGCTTTAAGAGGCACTGACCATCCCTATAAGCTTTCTTCTCTTTTTTCCTGCCACAAGGATAACACATCCCAAATAAGGGATGCTCCTTCAGCCTGGATCCCAGAATAAAAAGACACATGGAACAGAAACTCAGCTGCCAACCTACAGCTGCTGACACATAAGCAAGAGTAAATAAGTATAAGCAAGCAATAGAAATAAATGCTTGTTGTGAGCCAAGGAGATTTAGTAGTTGCTGGTACCACAGCAAAGCTGACAGTCTTCTCATTCTGCTGATACAGACTGGAAGGAAAATGCGAAAGTGCCAGATATTTGCATGCCACAAAAAACATAAGGATGAGCTCTGTTAACTCAGAAGCGGATCAGAGGCACCCAGAGTCCAAGATACTACTTACCTTGTCCATAAGGTGCGGGCTGCTGTGCACCATAGGAACTTGGAAGTGGCTGGCCGTAAGGGCCCCCTGGAGCTGCTCCACCGTAAGGTCCTCCTGGAGTTCCAGCACTGGGGTGTCCATAGGGCCCTCCACCAGCTGGTGGTCCATAAGGCCCTCCAGGGGCAGGACCCCCATAACCACTACCATATTGTCCTCCACTATGGGGGGGTCTCGGGTAGTAGCTGCCTGGAGGGGCTCCCGGTGCCTGTCCTGCAGCTCCTGGGCATCCCTGTGGGAAGGATATGTCAGAATGATGAGGCCAGAAATTATCCACAGTAGGCACTTCATAGCTATAAAGCACTTTCACTGCCAGTCTTTCAACTGATTCTATTGGCAGCGTGGGAATTATGATCCCCTTGCTTAGATGAGAAACCTGAGGCTTCTAAGTAAGCCAGGAATTTATCCAAGGTCACACCAGCAGTGGCCTAGAGAGTCAGGGCTGGAATCTTGCCCTCCTGACTCCCCTTTTCTGCACACCAAGGGGTTCTACAAAGGTGGGATCATATCTGGTTTGCCATTTTATCACCAGCTTCCAGTGCACGGATGCTTGGTAAATACTTATGATATAAATGAGTAGTCAAATGAAGCAAAGAGAGTTCTAAACGTTCACCCTGTATAACTCCCATCTTCATCTACGGAATTCACAGCACAGACTCTGTATGCCACACAGCCCTGACACTCATCAGTGCCCACTGCTGTGTCTACACATATAAATTCACAGCATGTCTTCCTTACTTTATGCTAGGTCAATATATACAAACATTTCCCTAGCTTCACTCATAATTTGGAGGCAGGCAGGGGAGACCTAGTCCTAAGTCAATATGGCACAATGGTAAAAAAAAAATTAGTTCAAATTCAGGTTTTGGCATTTTTTACCAACTGGACTAATGACTTACCTCTCTAAGCCTCAGAATCTTCTGCTGTAAAATGGGACCAATAATAGTGTCTACCTCGGTCACTATATGAATAAGACCAGTTATGTGAAGTACTTGACATAGGGCCTGGCAGAGTAAGCACTCGATACACATTAACTATTAATAATAGTCCCTCTCTATAGAAGTGGAAACTCAAGTCAAGAGAAGTTATTCACAGACTATGGGAAAGGCTAGGCAAAGAATCCAGGTCTCCTGGCTCAAAGGCCAGGTAATCCATGCATTAGTACATACATGGGAGCAGTGGTTCTCTGGTCCAACTCTACACGCCACATGCCAGTGCCTTGTGAAGCTGGCAGGGCTCCGCTACCTGTCCCTAAATGGCCGGCACAGGGTCTGGCAGAGCACATCTGCAGCCCAGCTGAGCTCAAGCACACAGAGAGCAGCTGGCCAAGTTCTGGGACAGTGTAGGTTCCAGTATGTTCTAGGTCAACTTGTAGGTGGCCTTGTAGGTGGACTAGCACTGAGAGTTTGGGTTTTCACTTTTTATTGTGTTTGATAATTCCTGAGACAGTTACTCTCAATGATAAGGCCAAATTCATATTTCATGTAAAAGGGATCTGCTAGCCCAAGGAAGGGAGGCTACTCAGGGGAGGGCAGGAAGCAGGCCCTGTCACCTCTCCCACTCAGTCTTATGGGGCCTCTTCCTCCCCGGAAGCTCCTAGTAGCAAGACTCTCATAGACAATGAAATCATGACAGATCTTGATTCAAAATTCTGCTCTTACCAGCTGAGTTCATGCTTGCCTCTTCACAAAAAATAATAATCATTTCCTCACTGGATTGTTCCACATGTTATATGAAATATATGTAGCAAAATTCAGTTAGCTCAATTTTTAGCTAAAGAATCTTTTGATAAAATGACAAAACCAATCAAAAACTAGCTCTGGCTGAAGCTAGGTAGAGCTCCAGAGCCCTAACCACAGAGGCCTCCTTCCTTGCTAGATTCTGAGAAGACTTGGAAGAACCCGCAGAAAAACCCAAAAGAGTCTGAAAACCACTAATGGAAGAAAAACAGTTCTTATAACAATGCGGGGAATAAACAAATGATAAATCATTGCTGTTGCTATCTTACTATATGAATTACTACTATCAGCAAAGTCCTGGGCCAGGTAAAAGTTATGGGGTTTAAAGATGGTAAGGTGAGAAATTCTGAAGGAACTCAGAATTAACAGAAGGGTAAGGGGATACTCTTTAACACCTAATGGAGTGGCATAAAAAACTGTGTTTAACATGGGCACATAAGCCACTTGCCATGGAATTGCAAAAGAAAGAGGGTAAAATCATAGAAGGGTTCCCCAAGAAAATGACATTTTATCTGGCACTTCAGAATTAATAAGATTCTCAAGGGGGTTGGAGAGGTGTGACAGGAGAGGCACCCCAAAGGCCTCTAATATAACTTAACCCTCATTTTACAGATGGCGAAACTAAGGCTGGGAGAGGGAAAGGAACTTGCCCAAGTCCCTGAGAGTAAAAGGCGGAAGCGGGCAGGACTCCTTCCCCCACACCAGGGCACACCGAATGACTCCCACTGCCTTCTGCCTCAATGCTCCTTCATTAAGCAACAGGACACGGGCTTCCAGGGTAGGACATGTTGGATACCAAGCCAGGAAGCAGCTGCTCCTCCAGAAGTCCATGCAAGCAAAGCTCCTCCCAGCCAGGGGGACCTGAGACACAGCTCTCCCATCTGGGAAATGCTCCCAACAATGCAGGTACAGGCAGGCGGGTCTTCTGCCCTTCCAACTATCATACTATAGGGTCTGTGCCTCTGGAGCAGTCTGGCAGCAACAAAACCCTCTCCTTTCTGCCCCACACCCAACTTCCTATGAAGGACATTCACATATACAAACACTACTGGCACAATGTCATTAATAATCCCTGAGTAGAAAAAGGGAAGATATTAATAGGCCTATTTCTCAGATGAAGAAACTGAGCACAGAGCTGTGAAATGACTTCATTCAGCAAGTATTTACATAGCACAAAACTAAAGGGGCCCTTACCCTTGAGTAGCCCACACATAATTATGATACAATCTCATCAGTGCCAGCAGAAAAATCGGCTTACACGCTATGAAGGCAGCATAGACAGAGGAATCTGTTCTGTCTGCTGAATGAATAAATGAGCAATCACATGAGCAATGCACAAAGTGAATCATGCAGGCTTCCTGGAAGAGGAAGCGGTGATATCAGAGTTGGTATTTGAAGGGTACCTACACATCCCCCCAAAAGAAGGCAGGGAAGGACGCTCCAGACAGAAGGGAGAAGAAAGGCAGTGCAGACTTAGGAGTGAACATGATGTGTTCAGGGAATGGGCTGAAAAAGAATCCAGAAAGTCCTTTACACAGTCCTTGACCGACCACCTTTCCCATCACCTTTCAGTTAGTGGCTAACTGTATCTCCCTCCCAATAGTAAGCTCCCTAGGGGCAGACACTGGGACTCGCTCATCATGGTAACCAGGGTCCAGCACAGTGCCTGGCACCTGCAATCCTCCATAAATACAGACCCTTGAGTTATGACCAGCCTCACATACGAACACCTTGAGTTACGAATGGACTTTTAGTTTTAACTTACGAACAAAGTGTTGAGTTACAGCCCAAATGCTGGCCACTTGTGCTTCCAGATGGTCTCAGATGCAGATTTAACCCTTGAAGAGTTCTGGAAGGAACATTACAGCATCGTTTCCTGTGTGAGGTTCACTGAGAAATCCTGGGCCAATGTCTAAGGACACTGAGATGCCTGTGTGCAGGAGAGAGACTTTGAAGGCTGTGCAGAGGAGTCTGAGCCTTCATTGACTACCATGAGTTACAACCAGCCCTCACCAATAAATTAAGTTTGTAAGTTAAGGGTTCACAGCATTTGAACAAATGAGTACTACTTTAAAGAGTTTGTGCTTCACACTGCAGAAAGTAGAGTACCCGAGAAGGGTTTCTAATAGGGAAGAACTGATCAAATCCTTGTTTAGAGAACTGACCAGGAGTGTGGGGGATGAGCTAGAGGGGTGGTGGCATCCCAGGTGCCAGGCATGAACCAGACAGCAGACTTGGAAACAGAGAGGACGGGATGGATTCTCAAGCTATTTCAAAGATATGCTAGACATGACTTGGCAACTAATCATATTAGGAAGGAGATGGAGGGGGAGCGAGGAGAGGGAAGTGTTTAGGATGATTCAGGTTTCTAGCCTGCACATGATGCAGTAGGCAGAACCACCACCTGAGGTGGAATCCAGTCAGGAGAGGAAGTTCAGGGAAGATGGTAGGCTGGTTCCCAGGGTCACCAAGGTGTTAGTAAAACTTTGAATCAGAAGTAAAAACCAGGGATGCCGGATGTGGTGGTGCACGTCTATAATCCCTGCACTCAGGAGGCTGAGGCAGGAGGATCACTGGGAGTTCGAGACCCACCTGGGATACATAGTGAGTTTCAGTTCAGTCTCAATTACATAGTGAGACCCTGTCTCAAAAAATACCCCTAAATAAATAAATTAAAAAAAAAACCTGTGTTCTTGATTCCACAGTTTTTTACATCACTTCATGCCGCCAACTCTTTCAAGAGTTTTTTTCCAAGAGTATTTCATACTGATAAACACAAGATTGTGAAATAGGGGGAAAAGAGTTCAGTAACCATGGTTTCTAAAGGTCTTCACTGATGGCAAATAAGTTATATTTGATATATTGGGGGCTGGGTGACACAACAGTTATTGAGGTTCCATTAATTTCTTCCAGTTCAAGCAGGTTTCACTGATCCTCAGTACTGCGAGGTTAAGCGTTACTTTCCCCATTTTAGGGATGAGAAAATTAAGGTGAAGAGAATTCAATAACATGCCTGATGTCATACAGTTAGAATAGGAGAATTGGGACTCAAATCAGGTCTGCACAAATGAGTGCCTAGCACGTACAGGCACCAGGACTGCGCTAAATGTTTGTGAGATACAATGGCTTTCTAGAGAAGACAGCGATGAAGGGAAAGTTTGGAGTAGGCACTCTTTCAGTACCTTCAGGCCCAGAAATCAGGGTGTCTTGGAAGAATCTTATTTTTTCTCTCCAGTACCTAGATCCAATTTAAGAGCCCATATTAAAAGAAACCCCAAAGACCTTTCAGTCCAGCCTCTCAGTCATAATGAATGAATCTGTGCAATATCATCTGGAATCTCGCAAGTGATGAAAGCCCACCTCTTCCAAATAATTCACTCCAACAGTCCTGTATTTTCTTTTAGCTCTGACGGCTCATTCTCCTACTCCCAAGACTCTTGTGAGGCTCACAAGTACCAAAGGCTGGTCTATGCTGAGTCCTGATCAGGAAGGGAAGAGGCTGCATCCCAAGCCTGCACCCCAGAGCTCCCCCTCAAGTGCCTGCTGGAAGAGGAGGAGCCTAAACCAAGGGTTAAACAATCATGAGTCAGAAGGAATGGTTTGGGCATGCACCAGCACAGCCTCCTAAAACATTTAAAGGACAGAAACATGCAACCAATGACAATGAGCCAAGAACTGTCTCAAGACTTCAAATACTACCTCTGCGCTAATGTTCCAGAATCTCTCTCTCTAGCTGCATTTCCCCTGAGCATATCCAAGAGCTGCCTGACCTTTCCAACCCGATCCCTCCTTCCGTGTTCTCATTTTCTGGTACCTCTGCCACACAGGCATGCGAACCCAAAGCCTCACTGCCCTCCTGGATACCTCCTCTTTCCTTTCTCCTCTCTTAATTAGGTACCAAGTTTTCTTAACTCTACCTCCCAAAAGCTTCTCAAATCAACCTTTATCAGGTCCTTGTTCTCTAAAACCTACCTTACTTCAGTAGCTCTGAAACGATCCCTACATCAATCCATTCTCACAGTGACCCAAGGTAAGTGCTTCAAAGGATGATTGAACAAACCCTTTTACCAGCTCCTCTGCTACTCTAAGGATGAAGTGACTCCCCCACTCACCAAAGGCATAAAAGGCCCTTTGGAATCTGGTCCTTACTTTCCTTTCTGGTCTTACTTCTTGCCCTTTTTATTTCATTACCACACTGCTATCTTAAAGTTCCTTCAAAATACTGGGCTGTCTTGCTTCCGGTCTTTGCGAAGCTATTTCCTCTACTACTATGCAATTCCTTCATCCAGCTAACTGACACTAGTGATGCAACTTTTGGCTCAAACGTCACCTCCTTTATGAAATTTTCCTGCATTCCCAGTGAGTTAGGCATCCCTTCTGTACTGCCCTAGTAGTGCACTTGTCATACTGATGCTGCAATCTACATACCTGCCTTCTCCTCCCACTTGGAGTATTGATTACATGTCAAACACCACAGCAAGAACTTGACATGGATTCTCTCATTTAATATTTACAGTAACTAGGGCTGGGGATTTAGCTCAGTGGTTCTACCACCTGACCCTTAAGCTCAAGGTCCCGAGTTCAATCCTCGGTACCAAAAAAAAAAAAAAAAAAAAAATTATATGTATATGTGTGTGTGTGTGGTGGGTAATTCTGAGATAGGTACTATTATAACCTCATTCTAAAAAAGGGAAACTGTTCTTTAGACCTTTACAATAAACTTCTGTAAGGAAGTGGAGGAGCAGGGACTTGAAGACAAATTTCTCTGGCCTCAGAGACCAAAATCTTGACACTGAATACATCAAGCTGGTTCAAGCACAGAACCAAAAAGTGCTTCAGTTTTATGATTCCAACACCCAAGTCCATGCTTGAATACCCTGGGCTGGGGTCAATGGAAAATTACAGGAATTGTGACACCTAGCAATTGGCTGGAATCCTCCAGGGCTATGTAGTGGGTGGAGGGAGGCAGCACTGACAGAGCCTTTGAATGACTTAAACAGCAGTTTCCTTTTTTAGAACACCTGAGACAAGGAAGCAGACAACAGTAACATGGCCAAAAAAAAAAAAAAGCACCATTTCTTATTCTTACTCGATTCCATATAGTTTTCAATATTTCACTCCAAGCATAAGCCCAGGCAGCATGGCACAGTAATGGTAAATGCAGTAGCAAAAGATGCCACCTTACAGTCATATCTATGTATTAGCAATGCACCAAGCTCCCTACAGATTAGGGGTAAAAATCCCTGCTTACCTAAGGGCCTTCATGATTGGTGCAATGGAGATCCAACTGCTGGGTAAACTGTACAGAGCTTCAATTCCTGCAAGGACCCTGATGACATCTTTAGACATGTGGCTATGGTTAGTTGTGTGCTAAGATTCCATCTGATCTTGTTTTCCAATTTTTCTCTGCGAATTTTCTCATCTAAATTGTGATGTGATTTCAGGCAACTTTCTAAATTATGTCCTCTAAAATGGAGGCTGTTTGAGGGTCTCTGAGGACTGACCTTCTAGGACTCTAGTAAAATTTAAAAAACGAAATGGCAACACATTACACTCCGTACCAAGTGCTTTACAAGCATCATCTCATTATTTTTCATAACAGCTCTATGTAGACTCTATTTCTCCATATTTTAGAGGAAGAAACTTTGTCTTAGAAAGGCAAAATACTGGCTGGGCATGGTGGTGTATGCCTGTAATCCCAGCACTTTGGGAGGCTAAGGCAGGAGGATCACAAATGCCAGCCCAACCTCAGCAACTGTGAGAACCTCCATCTTGAAATAAAAAAACAGGCTGGGAATGCAGCTCAGTGCAAAGGACCTGGATTCAATCCCCAGCATCAAAAAGGACCTGGATTCAATCCCCAGCATCACCCCTCCCAGCCGCCCCTCAGCCCCCCACGCAAAAAGCGTGCTCAAGGACTCAAAACTAAGTATATGAATCTACTTCTGGCTCTAAACTGCAATTCACCCTAGCCTTATGTCATTCAAAAAAGAATTCTAGACACAGAATCACATTGCTGTGGTTCTCAGCTGTTCGGGATGGACTGGCAAGGAACAAGCATTTGCAGACAGTCCAGGTTCTGATCTTGGCTCTGCTGCTTAACTAATGTTAGTTACTTCAGATAAATTCTGTGTCTCCTCTGGATTTCACTTTTCCTTTACGTGAAACAGACGTTGAACACATCAGTCATCACACCAGGTCACTTGCGGCGCCTGCTACAATCTCGGATTCTCCTATTGTGATGCAGTAGGTGTAGGGTGGTCAGAAAGCCTGGTTTGTTTGTTTGTTTTTTTTAATCAGACGCCCTAAATGACGTGAGTGGAACCAGAGCTCTAAATATCTTGTCAGCTTTGATCACCCCGCCCAGGACGCCTATAATCTTAGGAAGGTGTGGAATTCAGGCAGGGTTCAGCCTGGGTCTGTGGGGTTCAACGTTCCCAACTCCTCGCGAGCAAGATGTCAAAGGGCCCGACACCACTTCACGGACGCATTGTCCTGAGTGACGTGCGCCTGGTGCCACCAGCAGCTCCTTTTCCCTTCTCTACGGCGTAAAGCCTCGCTGAAGCGAATCTCGGAGTGTAAACCGCGCGGAGAAAGCCGGGAGAAAGAAGAGCCGGGTGAACCCGATTTGAGCTTGGCACGCCCCCTACCTGGATCCGCGGGCCCCTCTCACACTCACCTGCCCGTATGGATAACTTGCCATGGCGACTCTGACGTCACACGTCGGCGAAAGGCGGGGCTTTCTGCTCTCAATGCTGCCCCTAAAGGGGCCTAGAGGCGGGCCTGCTTCTGACTGGACGAATAGACTGTCGATCATTGGTGAAGTCAGCCAACGGAAGTGACGCTACTAACAGATGGAGGGTTGCCCCGCGGACAGATCAGAGGCGTAAGGGTAGGGTGCAAGCGTCTGGAAGTCTTGATGGTTGTACTGGAGCACTTGTCTCGCCATTTCCTGACCTAGAGTAGGTTTCAGGGCTGCTGAGGCCAAGATATTTAGTGGTACAACTGGGCCAGGTGTCGCTGTGGCGGCCATATTGTAACTTGGCAAACGGGACGCATAATAGTGGCGTATAACTGTCGTCCCTTCAAGTTTCCACGCGTCAGGCGGTTGTCATGACTACGGGGAACCAACCCTTGCCTTCTGGAAAATAAAGTAGAGTAAGCCTCTCTAATGGCAAATCAGTGGCCTTGAGGTGGGATACAGATCTGTGGTCTTTGGGAAAAAATACAAATCGACAGAGTTGGAGAAAAATTAGATGATTTAGTGGCGCTTTCTTCATAAATTGGAAAATTGAGGCCCAGAAAGGCAGTGATTTATTTGTTGTAATTCACAGTGAGTTCGCAACAAAATATGGCCTAGAACTGCGTTCAGTGGATGCTTAGGTCTCAGCAGTACAGTCTAGGTTTGTCCCCATAGTAGGTCAGCTTGTGGTTCCCAAGAGACCTCAACATCGTATCTTCCCTCTCGGGGTTCAAAGCCTATACAGTAGTATTGTTTGCGTGTTTATTTGATTGATTTGTTACGTTCTTCCAGGATTGGTCGGGTTTGCCTATCATTATCCCCACTACCTATAATGTGGACACTGTACTTTATAAATAGATAAATGAATAGGGTTATGAATCTAGCAGTTTACAAAACCACAGTGCTGATTGTGATAATTCCCCTTTGGACCACCTGCAATGAGTACCTGCAAAATAAAGCCAGTCTCCATCCTGGCATCTCAGGCCCTTCACAATCTGGCCCAACCTTACTTTTTAAATCTTTCTCACAGTACCAGTCTATGTCCCACTCTATACTCCTAAGGTCTTCCACAATTCATCACTCTTACTTTGGTGTGAGGATATTGATTTTATTACTTCCTAACTGTTATGATCTTGGGCAAGTTATTTTAGTTAAGTCACTTTCTTCAATTGTCAGAGACAAATATGTAAAAAAAATTTCCCCCTGTACCGGGGATTGAACTCAGGACCTTGCATTTGTGAGGCCCGCACAACACCACTGAACTAAATCCCCAGCCACAAATATGTACATTTGAAAATGAGCTTGCTAGATGTAGTGGTGCATGCCTGTGAGCCTGTGAGCTCAGCTGTTTGGAAGACTTAGGCAGGAGCATTGCAAGTTTGAGGTCAGTCTGGGCAACTTAGTGAGACTTTGTCTTAAACAACAGCAACAGAAAAAAAATATATATGTATATACACACACACATACATACATGAAGGAAGGAAGAAGATAAAGAAAATGAGCTTACTGTGCCTATTTATGCTCAAATCTATGGTCAAACCACTCCTGGACTAGCAACCCCTGTTGTCATCTCCAATCCTCCAAGCCTCAATTCCAATCCCATCCTTAATCCAACTTTCCCACATTACATCCAGCTCAAGAGTTAGCCACTCTTGCCCGTCTCCTTTTGTACTTGGTACTGTCACTGTGCCATACTCCAGTTGGCCTTGGTTAAGAGTTCTGTTTCATATTTACCCTAAACTCATCCTTCTCCATTTTAGAAAACCCAATCTCTCAGGCCAAAAACCAAGTATCTTTCTTAGGTGTCTGTTTCTCCATTCATTCCCCCACCTCCATTTGCTCTAGTTCAAAAATATACCTGCATCTGTTCTTTTTCTTCCTGTCTGCACTGTCTGGTCCAAGACACCATCATCTATAGCCTAGATCACTACAATAGCCTCCTGACCAGTGTCTCTGCTTTTTGCTCTTTTCCCCTCACTTCATTCTCCATCGGGCAGCCAGAGTGATTGTTTTAAAATGTGAATCAGATAATGTCATTCATTGGCTTAAACTCCTCCAAGAGCTTACCATCACATTTATAATAAAATATAAACTCATTGTTACGATTTTTGTGGTCCTACATAACCTAGATCCTACCTGTGTCACCATCTTCATTGGCAGCCATTGCCGTCTTCTTCAGTTCACCCCTGCCATGCTGGCCTGATTGTCACCCCTGAAACATACTGAGTTCATTCCTGATTCCAAGGTTTTGGATTTCTTCTTTCTTCTGTCTGGAATACTGTTCCCTTGGCTTTCTACTGGTTGGCTCCTCCTTATCATCCAGGCCTTAGTTGAAATAGCACCTTTTGGGGAGGTGGGAAAATTCCTGGACATCCCATCTAAGGTACATTGATACCCCATGTACATTCTAGTTATCTATCATACCACTATATCTTATTTTTCATAATAGTCATTACTATTTGAATTACCCTCTTTCAAGATTTGCATACATTTTGTAAGGTTTACATGAGTATTATAGGATTCTCCTCTTATTCATTTCTCTACCCTCAGTACCTAGAATAGGACTTGTCATGAGTTCAATAAATATTAGTTATTATTATCGTCATGTTTACTTGGTGACAGACATTGTGCTAAGTACTGTGGTGTTTAAAATTTTCACCACGGTCTTTTGAAATAAATACCATTACCCACTTATACTGAGGAGCTGAGGCTCAGGGAAGCTAAGTGACTTCCTTAATATCAGAAGGATAAATGGGGAATTCAGGATTTGAACCCAAATTCACACTGCTTTAACCACTTCCTACTTGTAGTAGATCTCAGGTCTTCTTTACCTTCGTAACCCCACAGTCCAAAAAATATTGGTGGAATTTCAAAATGTCAGGAAGTTCTGAAGTATGCGCAGGGCTGAAGGTCAAGGGGATATTAATCCACAGAGAGAATAGTGACACCTGGCTTGCTAACGGGTTGTGTGACTCACACTCATTTATTTCACAAACACATTAGCCTACTGAGTTCTCATGACTTGCCAAGCCCTATTCTAGGTGCTGAGTTTTCCCTGCCTATGGGAATTCTTTGCCCCCATGCCCCATTGCCCAGCTAAAGACTTAAGAGAGCTTTCTGTTGGAGGTCTATGCTATTTGGTAGGCAGAGGCACCCAAATCTCTCAGGCAGCCAGACACCAACCAAAGCCAACATCTAGAGATATGCCTTTGAGGACCCACAGCAGGCCCAGGTGTGTTTATTTTGGAAGGGGCTAGATGAAAGAGAACTCAGGATCTTCCAAAGGCTGAAAAACTTCATTTTCCAAACCTCAACTACCTGCAGGCAAGAGGTGGGTGGGAACATTTCTATTATTCTTTCAGTTTTAGCCAAAGAGGAAAACCTAGATTCCAACCCTTTATAGAGCACAGAGCACCTTCCGGAGTCAACGGAAGCCCTGTGGCTGACCTGGTAATGGAAGGCCTGGCCACTGGAAAACATTGCCTCCCCTAGAGACACATCCTCCCTGCAGCTTCCCAGCCGAGCACCAGGCTCCCGTGTGGCTTACTGAGAAGGAATGCCAACACCTACCTAATTATTATGGAATTAATTCTCTTTGATTCCATCTAGAACCAGTTCTAAAATTGAAATTCCAGTTGGATTTTATAAATCAGAGAGTGATTTGTAGCTCTCCACAGAACCAACCAAAACATGAAAACAGCAGATGTGGCAATTTGGCCACACTCCCCTTCCATCATGGGATCATAGGGAGAGCACATTGGTGCGGTCTATTCCTGTAAACTATTCAGGACAGCAACAAAAAGATGGAGTCTCATAAAGGGTTAACAGACTGGCCACGTGTGAAGAAAGAATCTTGTTAGATTCTGTTGCATTGTGGTAACAGGAAAATATGACCCAAAGGAAGATTTAAATTCTAGACAGCATCAAACGTGGGATTTTTCTCTGCAGGATAAATATGCACCAGCCTTTTATCCATCTTATAGAGCAAATGATTCTCAAATTAAGGACACCCCAGTCATTCTTCACATTGCCGTCAGCAAACTCCCCATTAGGTAAACCAGACTCAACGAACCTTTGTGTAAAACCCATCAGTGGCTCCCCACTGTGCCTTCCCTGCTTGTGCCCAGCAATCCAACCATACTGCCCTCCATCCCATCACAGCCTGCTGTGCTCAATCATCTCTGAACTTGGCACATGCTGTTCCCTCTGCCTGGATTGATCGCTTTCTCTCTAGACACAGTAAGATCCCCCAGGGATGCATACCCGTGGCACCCGGTACTCCCCCATCATCCCACTTTATTGTAGTTGTTTAACTATGTAGGGGCAGGGACCATATCTGTCTAGTTTGCCTCAGGATCCCCAGAGCCTAGTACAGTTCCTGGCACAAAGTTGGAAGAGGAAATGGACTCCTCTAGTTACACTTTGTCAATCTGAACAATCTCTGTGTTGTCTTAAAAACCTGAAATAGACTAAGAAATAAAGATGGAAGAACAGCAGGGTGGGAATGTGAAAAGGCTGCCCTAAGAGAAGTGGAAGGCATGGGCCCCTCCTTCTTTTCTCTTCAGCTTACCCAGCTCCTGAAGTGATGAGCAAGATCCACAGATTTTTTTGCTGACCACAGAAGAAGAGACTATAAAATTCAGCTTCCCATCTGGTTCTTCATGGTCCAAGAAAAATACAGCAATTTCAAACTCCAGGGAGGCAAGCACTCAAATCATGGAAGCTTAAGCCTAGCCTGTCATAGAATTCCCAAAGAGAGGCCTCAATTTGACACAAGAAGCAAAGTAAAGGAGTAAACATCATTTACTCTATAAGGATCAATTCCCTGATGACCCTCAAAGGGACTGAGTTTGATGTTTCCTTATGGCAATTTTCCCCTCTGGCCTTTGGAGCCAACCTGCCTAATTCAACAGCTGGCTTGTGCCTCTCTATTTGTGCCAACCTGCTCCCAGTCAAGAGGCCCATCATCAGTTCGCTTTGCAGACTGGGCTGAGTGGAAGCTGGCCTTCTAATGGGAGTGCTTTAACATCTGTCTTCATCCACTGTCCAAAACCTGGCTGCTACTTCAATGTAAAGATAATGTATTTGCTTTATAATGTTTTCAGTTAGAACCAGGGTTCACTGAGAATTGCTGGTGAGAGCTGAAGAGCTGACTCTTCCTGTATCTAGAAACAGTATGTGAGGTACTCTGGCGGGCTCAGGAGTCTTCCTGACTTCATTCCTGTGACCACCAGCACACCTCTGTCCCTGTCAGGAAAAAAATGTGGCAGAGGTTCTGAGAATCTGTCCTTAGGCCAGTCTCCTGGATTTTGGGGGCTCAACCAGAAAAGAGAAAATCCAGAAACATGCTGGGAATGCCAGGTCTGGAGAGATTTGACAGCCAGCTTGAAGGCTTCAGGCAGTTTGGATAAACATCTAGACTTTGAGTACATTTCTGAGCCTGTTCTGTGATCCCTTTGAAGTCTATCCAACTTGAATAAGCCTTCCAGAAAGCTGGGACCTGAAAAGTCTCTGTAAGTGCCCCATTGCTTTCTTACAAGGCAGCCAGCCCATCAGGACAGGAGATCTGAAAAATAAAGAAAGAAGCTTGAGACGGAATGTTTCTATAAGGCTTAATCCACTGTCCTTTTCTCTTTTCTTCCTATCCCTTTTCATTTCAGAGAGGAGAAAGAGAGAGAGAGAGAGAGAGACATGGATCATCAAGAAGCCGCCAGTGGACTTTGAGGACCACAAGCTTAGATCTGATTGTGGTTGCCTATGACCTCTTCTCACTGATACAACCTAGCTGTTTTCCCAAAGGCCTAGGTAGGGATGTACAGGAAAAGCATCACACACATTTGAGTAATGAAAAATGTCATTTTCAGTCCAGAAAGGCACTGCCTGAAGCTGGAGAGCAAGTGAGAGAATCATGCATTGGTGCAGGCAGGAAGTTCCACCTCATTTCCCACAGAAGCATTCCCTGGTTGCCTAGGCAGGGGCTACAGCCTATCTTCCCTCCTGTTTGCACAAGTTTTCTAATCACAGAATTACTGGAGCATCAAGAAGAGCCTGCATGCTTGGAGGAACTTCCAGGCAGGTGAACACACCCTAGTACTGGGTGGCATCTCCCAAGGTACAAGCTGAATTGGCTTTGGGTCATAGGACGTGAAGTAAGGTGGGCAGAGTGTGGGAGCTGCAAGTGGGGTGTTCAAAACTGCTTTTGGTTCATTTGAAAGGAGAGGCTGAGTGATACTCCTGCCCTAACTTGTGACAGGTGTGCTGTGGAGGATGGAAAACAGGTCCAGAAAGCTGAAAGATGAATCAGAAACACCTGAAGAGGGAAGCTGGGCTGGGGGCGCCCTATATACAGCAGCACCCCACAACTCTGCTGGCTGACTGCAGACAATGAAGGGCCAATTTGAGACTCTGGGATTGAATGGAGATGCCAGGGAGATGTGGCTGCAGCGCCAGGGGAACATCACTGGAAGTGGGATTGCAGATAGTTTTCTTTCTTTATTGTTAAAAAAATAGTAACAGCAATTAAAAACAACAACAACAACAATAACAACACAAACATTCATAACCCATCACAGAGTCCTGTAATCTTTGGTCATTTATTCCGAATGGAGTCCTTCATCTCACGGGAAGTGGTCATTTCAGCCAAAAGGCCCCTTCGTGTTTTTCATGGGTGGGTACTGCTCCTCCATTGGCATGGCCCCAAAGCAGTCTGAGGGATTGCAGTGCCCAGCCTTCCCTGGCTGGCCTGAGGGGCCCGGGGGACCAGGGATGCCAGGAATGCCTTGTTGGCCCATTGGCCCTGTTGCACCCATCTTGCCATATCCAGGAGGCCCTTGAGGACCTAGGGTGGGAAGAGTCCCAAAAGAGATATCAGGAGACCCAGATAATAAAAAAAGAAGAAACAATGGTTATGGTAAATGACACTTTACATTTGATGTGTATTTTTCGAGTTACAACACATTTTCATGAAGACTGGATCTGATCCTCACACCAATCTAACAATGATGATCATGATCACACAGCTAGCTGGTTTTATTGACAGCATGTGTGCCACGCATGGGGCTGAGTACTTTTTTATGCATTTGTCACTGGATCTACACAATTCCCTGAGAAACGAACTACTATCTAATTTTGAGGATGGTGACACAGGTTCACAAAGGTTGCACGTCAGTTAAATAGTGAACCTGGGCCTCAGAGCCAGGCCATTAGGCACTGGCCATCCTCTTTAAGGATACACAATCACACGGCATCTTTGAGAATGACCCCAAGGGCTTAAGTGACCTCTTCAAGACTGCACAGCTAGGAAGTTGCTAAGCAGGTCTTGAACTCAGGTTACTGGCCCCAACCACACACAGCTCTCTCTCACTACATCATAAGCTAAGCGCAGCCCAGCGTAGGACTACTGGTGAATAATGGATCTCCCTCACTACTGCCCCCAAACCCTAGCAGACTGCCTTGATAACTGTAATGGTGTTTATTGGCCTATGCTGTAGTTATTTGGAGTTCTACACAACTATGGAATCAAAGGAGCATAAAGACAGGTGGTTGCTGTTGATCTGGATTCAGGGTCTCACATGTAGTTTTCTTACCTGGGGGGCCAGGGAGACCATTTTCTCCTGCAATGCCAACACCAGTGTCCCCCTTTTCACCTTTGGTTCCAGGCAATCCTGAGATGATAAAAAGAAAATAAGAAATCCTATCCCTGAGTAGAAAAATGACAAAGATACACACACACAAATGCCACATTCACAACCAACTTCACTCAGTGCTCAGGCCAGCCCCCAAGAGGTTCATATGCCCCATGGGAGCAAGAAGGCAGAGCTACCTCTCATTCCTGGCAAGCCCTGCCGTCCTTCTCTGCCAATCTGACCAGGGAGCCCAGGTGATCCTGGAGCACCTGGCCGGCCCGGAGCACCCTCTTTCCCTGGGGGCCCTGGCCGGCCTGGAGCTGCAACCATCTCCACAGGGAACTGCATCCTGGAAGTATAGTAAGCCATCCTATCTGTAAGAAAGGATAAGGACGGTTCATAAGGTGCCCCAGGGACTCTGACTACAGATGCTACAGTAGTCACCAGCATGGAACAGCTTTTCTTCAGAAGGACATCTGCAAAGGAACAGAGGCTGGTCTCCTAAGAGGTGTCCCATGCCCTGATCTCCACCTGGCTTTCCATGGAGAGCTTTTGCAAGCACAGATCTGATTGTGGCGTCTCTCTAACATCCTTCATTGCTTTGCCACTGGCTTTGGAATGCCATCCAGACTGCACTGCTTGGCACACAAGGTCTCCTTCCCAAGCAGGATGCCCAGCCACTCCAGGACAGGGCCCACATTTCCCCAGGTCCCAGCACAACAACATTGGATGAGCAAATAAGCAGGGAAAAAAAAGCAAAGCTCAAAATAAACCCCAGCAGCGGCCATCTTCTAGCTGCTGCTCGGCCCTCTGCTTAGAGCGCGCTCCATGCAGGCTCATGTGAGATCAATTTTCTTGTCAGCCTCCTTTGCTCAGGAGGGCAGGAGGGAATCATTTTATCTCTGAACAGAGCAGGTGACAAGGAAGGGTTGATGGATAATTGAACATATGCTCGTCACCTCCCCCGGCCTGTAAATGTTGGGTGGGAGGGGGGAGGACACAGAAGTTTTAAGGCAAAGAAGGCTGGGCCTGGGTAGAAGTAGCTGGGAAGGGAATGCAGCACCCACTGCCACCCAGCCGGCTGCCAATTACCATCAAACATTTTAATGATCTCTTGTCTGATGAACCTCTTGATTTCATCATAATTCACCAGGTCTCCCTAAGGAAAGAGAAAAAAAACCTGCCTCAATTACACTTCCAAGCTTGGCGCTTTCCCCTGGGAACAGACTTTATGGAAATAAAGGATGGGCAGGAGGCCAGGGTCCTAGGAGCCTCCCATAAATTCTTGATCCAAAGTCCTACCCACCTCCAAATGGTACAAAGCATTTCATGCTGAAAAACAGATTGTTGGGGAGAGGGTCCTATAATCCGCACCTCCCCAGACAGTTAAGAGCCACCTATATGAGAATCATGCTTTTTTTCTGCAGAACATCATCAATAGCTTCTAAAATGACCCATATTCCACCCCACATGCTCATGGCTGCCAGCCTGCTCTTACCATGGAGCCAGGCACACCAGGCAATCCAGGGCTTCCTGCAGGTCCTGGAGACCCAGGGTGGCCTCTCTCTCCTACAGGACCTGGTGGCCCAACAGGCCCCATGGAGCCACTCTTTCCAGGCCCGCCTGGCATGCCAGATCTCCCCTTCTCTCCTGCCTGGCCCTTCTGTCCTGCAGGTCCTGGATCACCCTACAAGGACAAGAAGTCACAATCCAGCATCACCCAATGCTGTCAAGTTCATGTCATGGTGTCTCTTCCTCTCCATGCTCCACCAGGTCTCCAGCATCTCCTTCTGAACTGTGGCCATTGTGCCATAGGCCACCCAGCCTCGTCAGCAGAGCAGACTTCCTAGGAGACAGGTCTCACAGTGTCACTCCCTTAGAAACCTGGTGGTTCTCATGTGCCATAAGTGTAAAGGCCCAATTCCTTTGCCAAACATGCAAGTCCATTCACTACATGGTCCTGATCATCATTTCCTCACCCTCGTTCCCCTGCTCCCGCCTCTAGCCAACCACTCTCACTGCTTACAATTCTGGTTCTGCCATGCTGTCTGAGTCCTCCCTGCCTGGAAGGTCCACTCCTCATCTCTCTCCACTAAACTTCTCCTCTTTCACTGAAGTGCTCTTGTTTTTGTGTTTTGCAGTATTGGGGACTGAACTCATTGTCTTTGCACTGAGATACATCCTAGCCCAGTTATTTTCGAGACATGGTCTTGCTAGGTTGCCCAGGCTGGGTTCATACTAGCAAACTTCCTGCCTCAGCCTCCCAGAGCTGACATTACAGGGGTGGACCACTATACCCAGCTGCTCCTGTTCTTTATGCAGTCTCCCTCCCTCAACCCCCGGCAGAGTTGGGTGCTCCCGTCCTCAGAGATGCTACACCACTATGTCCCGTCTTCTGTGAAACTTGCCCCACTTTAATGTCAATGTGATCGGACTGCAGGGAGACCACGGTTCAGGGACCTCTGTTTCCCCAAGGCCAGGACAAAGGGCCTGGAACATGAGTAAAGATTGGGAATTCCCTAAGCAAAGCTAAGAACTCTGGAATGGCCCCAGGCGAGAGCTATTCAGAGGTTGCCCCAAACTCTGCTCCCCCTTTACCTGCCTATTGGCTGTCCTGTGTCTCCTTGAGCTAATACCCTGTCTCAGAGCTGGGTGTAGTCCATTCATGGGCATCTCCTCTCCAACCCAGCCAGTTCCCGACTCACCTTTGGACCAGGAATTCCGTGCAGTCCCTGTTTTCCAGGAGGGCCCTAGAAGGAAGTGAAAGTCAGGAATCGGGTCTGGGCAGCATCCCTAAGGCTTCTGGGGAGGTAGGAACTGTGAAAAGACCACCTCCCTCAGCCCTAGGCCCCTGTCTGTGTCCAACTGAGCTGAGTGAGAAAGGCTGACAGCCTGTTTGCAGATAAAGGTGACAGCTGGAAGGGAGAATGACATCCCCCGAGGCATGGCCTTCTCTGATCATGTTCGCTGAGTCCCTCATCACAGATGAAACGAAGTCAGAATAAGAAGCCAGTCTAGAATAGCGGAGGGTCAGGCAAGAGTTGGTGCCCAGGGAATGTATGGAGTTTGTTCTTATTGCAGTCTCTTTTTGGCCAGGTACAAAGTGGGGGGAAAATGTATGGAACAAGTCTCACTGCTATCCTTGTGCATTAGTCTCTAGTTCCTTTCCTCGGAGCAGTAAGACTGACCAGTTCCTATACACAGTCTTGAGACAGGACTCCCATGGAACCAGATTTGTGAGTGCCTAAGTCCCTTGTTTAAAATGGTGTAGTACTGCATATAACCTATGCACATCCTCTTGTATGCTCTAAGTCATTGCTAAATTGTATATGTTACCTTATACAATGTAGGTACTACATAAATAGTTGTGTTACTGTATTATTCAGGGAATGATGACAAGAAAAAAAGTCTGTATATGTTCTGTACAGATATAATTTTTTTCTGATTATTTTCAATTTAACATTGGTTGCGTTCCCAGATATGGGAGCTACGGATATAGATCCTGCTGAGACCGTCTGTGCACACAGGAGTGCTCCCTGAATGAACAGAGAGGGGCCAGGGCAAGGGAAGGACTAAGAATTATCTCCCCAAGGGAAAAGGAGACCAGCACTACAGTACCTCTTTGCCAGTGGCACCATCTGTACCAGGTTCACCCTGGGGACAAAGAGCAAGAAGTGATGAGCTATGATCAGCTTGGCTTCACATACATCACCTGCCATGCTGTCCACGCCCCCCTGTTCCACCTGTAGGAGACCCTGATCCTATAGCCCTCAGCTTTGGACAACGCACACTGAAACTCCCGGAGCCCATACGGACAGCTCCCCAGAGTTCTGCGAGGGAAGGACACTGGGCCTCTTTGCTTGGGATCCTGGCACCTTGCAGAACACTGGCCATGAGTACGTTTTGCTGAAGGAACACAG